GTAGCTTCTTTGTTACTACTAGTAAGGCACTTGTTACTAGTAGCGATATTCGTATCGTAGGTTGGAGGCAAATCGCTTTTTTTCGTTGGATGCATCGACGATATGATCAAGGAAGGACAAGGGTTCTTTTTTGATGTAAGCTCTGACGTCACGGCGACCGCGGCGAATCTCTTTCTGTCTCTCTCTCTCTATCTCTCTCTCTCAAGCAAGTGCTTAAAGCAAAAATAATGAAAAGGAAGGGTAACTCTATTTTGTCCGGTCTTGCAAACACAGTTTTGGAACGTTTTCAGTTTGTTGAATTTACTCCGCCATCCATTTACTCCGCTCTGATAAAGACATCCTTATACCTGACAGTCTTATGAACCTGATGCCACTTCCTTCTGCGGTCGTTTTGGCAAAGAGGGGTCATTTTCCACAGAGCTGGAGCGACTTGGCCGTGCAAAACCAAACGACCTAAAACAAGCTGGACCGACCATGACTCCCGATGAAATACTCTGATCCACCACGATCTTTGTAAATTTGTCCTCTGAGCCGACCCCCTGTGAAGTTGTGTGTCTCGTAGCAAGGTAGTCTCTTAACCGAAACATTGCAAAACACCGCCTAGAACATGTTCCATCCTTCGTTCCAGGACAAAACCATACAGCTAAATGTCTCGTCCTGTAGCTATAGTAGTAACATGGGCATCGCTAGTAGCAAGGGCATAGACTAGTAGTTCAGTTGACAAAAGGAGAGGATAGGCTTCCTTCAGCCAAAAGGAATCGCACCAAGGTGCAGAAAGACGCTACTAGGAGCAAGGGGCATCGCTACTAGGAACAAGGGCATTACTACTAGTAGCATTCTTCCTACTAGTAACAAGAAGCTACTAGGGGCTCCTGGCCGTACTACTAGGAGCAAGGACGCTACGAACAGGGCTCCTGGCCGTACTACTAGGAGCACAGAAGCTACTACTAAGGAATCACACCAAGGTGCCGAAAGACGTTCATGAGCTGCACATCTCAAGCAGCCATTGTAAAGGAATTGCCGTGACTCGGCAGAGGTCTCTTGTTCCTCAAGGCGGATGGGAGGATGGAGGAGCAGTGTCCTTTTTCAACACTGCAGCCCTCTTGAAATACTAAATAATAGCTTCTTGTTACTACTAGTAAGGCACTTGCTCCTAGTAGCGATGCACTTGTTCCTAGTAGCTACTTGCTCCTAGAAGAAAAGGAATAGTGACATATTGTATGACATATGATATTGTAATATATTGTATATGAATGAGTATGATATGTTCCACTTCAAAGTTCTTTCCAAACCGATCAAGGCTTTCTCAGTGTATGCTATGGCATGCTTGTAGGTTGGAGGACATTGCTATTAGCGGCTTGCCATGCTATGGCATGCTACCAGGGAGCAACGGTAGGACGTTCTCCTCGCTCGGTCAGCTGTCGGATTTGGTGCGCCGCGGCCAGCGGGTTATCAGCCGTCACCTGTTCCAAGGAGTCATCAGTTCGCTCGGTTTCTCAAGCTGAACACAAGCTACTAGGAACAAAGGGCATCGCTACCAGGAGCAAAGAAGCTACTAGGGGCTCCTGGCCTTACTACTAGGAGCAAGGACGCTACTACATGAAACAATCAATTTACCCAAATACTTGTAGATGTCGTCTAAACATCTCCAAACAATCCCACAATTAGTGACCGGTACACAGTACACTCCCTGATTCTTTTTGTTAGATGGCTTCTTTTTTCACTTGGAACACACCTGCGACAGAAACCAAGGAGCAACACTTTCACATCGTCTTATTTCTGCCCAACAGCAATTCACTTCACCTCGAAGAAAATAACCATCCCTTCCTCGAGATGAACGACAGGTCTCTCGCTCTCCAAAGAAAAGATAGACGAGTTGTTTTCCACCCAACAAGCACATGGAACAAAACGACAAACACTGAGGATCGATTTGCTCAAGCGGAACAGGACCGTTCAAAGCACCTGCTTGGCCCATGGCCGACTTGCTGTGAGCAACTCGACCACCGCGCAGCCGAAGGACCAAATGTCTGCCTAGGAAGCATGTAGCGTCCTTGTTACTACTAGTAAGGCACTTGTTACTAGTAGCGATGCACTTGTTACTAGTAGCTTCTGGAAGAGGCGACATGGATTGAAAGCATGGCGACTCTTTCTCCACATGCTCCAAAACGCTCGATCTCCGCTGGCCAAGCGTCAGTCTTGTGTTATTCTCGCCAAGCGTCACTCTGGTCGTAAGGAGCACCAACTAGAAGTTCAGGTGGCAACCTGCAGAAGTTCATCATTTTATGCTGAAAGTTAGAGGATGTGAATCCGCTCAAGGATACGTCTTATAGTGCGGCTAGAAAGGCTCTGTTTTGTTCGAAGGAAACAACCAACTTCAAGCAACTAGGAGACTTCTGTTGACCTCCTAATAGCGATGGCCCCCACTCCAACCTAGCAATGGCCTCCAACCTACGAACGCAAGTAGGATACAAACGACTTCTGACCTGTCCAACTCTCTGTGCCGTGACTCTCAGGCGCACCAGAAGGGACTTCCGACCAAAGACTTTGCCATGTCCTCCTCTGAGATCCAGCGAGAGCCTTGGAAGTTTCATGAGGCCACATGCGGCCATCAAGCGGTGATTCTCGTCAGCGAATAAAGAATTTGATGGACCAGACTTGAGGGTTTGCATTAATTAACAAGTGCCTCGCTAGTAGTAACAAG